GAAACACCGATCGACCGGTGGTGGCTAACGCGGAGCTCAATCGTGGATAAGGGAAACCCAATGCAGGAGAAGCAGGCGGCTGGTGAACTGAATTTCAGGTAAGACGTTATTAACTGCACTCTATTTGGGTCAGATATAAACCGAGTTTAGGTGTAGTTTATTTTCGTTGTGCTGACAGTTACAATAACTGTACTGCGTGCTAGCTAGCACGACGGAGTTTCTATACAGCTGTGCGCGCTAAGTTACTGATGTTGAACTTTATGACAGCCTCCCCTATTTTCAGGCGAGAATGTAGGGGTGTAAACTTCAAATATCTGCTCGTTTTATCAAGAAGTCCCATATTTTATCAAGAAGTCCCATATCTCTCACGATGTTACTGCTAGCGCTGCATGGCAGCTAGCTGGCTAGGGCGGCTTGGCTGACACCTAGGCCGGGCTGACTGATACCCGGGCTGACTGATACCCGGGCTGACTGATACCCGGGCTGACTGATACCCAGGCCGGCTCACGCTCTTGTTTCACCGCCGCATGGCAGCTAGCCGGCTAGCTGGCTAGTGCGGCTTGGCTGACACCCAGGTCGGGCTGGCTGACACCCAGGCTGGGCTGGCTGACACCCAGGCCCGCTCACGCTGTCGTGTCACCCCTAGTCTTTCGTGATGACTCTTGGTTGGCTGCTGGCCTTATTTTTCATTTATATGGGCTGGTGATTCAGTATGAGTGTCCGGTGAACTGAATGTCAGGTAAGACGTTATGTATATTTAAGGTAGTGACTGGAATAAGTCACAAGGTGTCGCTGTTGAGCTGCATATATGTTGTAAATTTTAGCAATTTTGACCATTTGTCCTCTGCAGGACACCGTAGTTCAGATTTCTCGTTCGCGTGGGCGCCATCTTGGTTCAGTGTTTACTGTGATGTGCAAAGGTAAGCACTGTCAGTGGCGAACTGCATTGGTTTTGTTTAAAAATAAGTGTTCCACTGTGTAAAATAGCGGTTTGTCATTTAAGCCGAGCAAATATTTTGTTTATTGAGAGGTTCATGTATTGTCTGATGAGAGTATGAGACAAAGATATACTTTTCTTTCTTACTCTGATATAAAATATTTAGCTTTTATTAAATAGTTATCTGAATCTTACAACCAAAGTTTGTATAATAATACACAAGATTGGCTGTAGACCATTGTTAATCATTCAGAACACTGTGTAAAAATAACAAAAAGTGAATGAAAAGTGCATAAATATTTATTTTACGTGTTTGATGTGCGTGGCAGGGCGTGGTCTGCAGTGCCGCTGCAGGGGAGGTGGACCCACCTCAGCGGCATCTGCAATCACGCCTCTCAGGTGTAAAGTCTGTGCTCTCTCTGCTTTTTTTTTTTCTTTTTTCTTTTTTTTTTTTTTTTTGTGTATGTGTCGGGCTATGAGATGAAAAGCTACAGCCGGCTGTGTGGGTACAGCAACTATGTGTGAAAAGTGGTCCATAACGTAATGCTTCAAAGTGTGTTCATGCAAACATTGTCGGGTCTGCTTATGAACCTCTGCGCACAGCGTCTACAAATTGGGGCTGTACGAAGTCACCTCATCTTTACACAAAACTGTAAGCTGTCATCTGTGAGGCGCGAGCGGTGTTTGGTTTTACCATAGTTCATGGTGGAGAATGGCTGCTCCGGTGAGTTTTGCTCTCTGTAGCCGTTTGAATGGCAAACTATACTAATTGAATGGCAAACTATACTAATTAAGTGTGCCTATGCGAAGGCACACTTATTACTATTGCTCGGATTTATTATTATTATTATTCTTTTTCCGCCTGAAATTTTGGACCGTAACTCATCCCACAGTTTTGACACAAGCTTCATATATGTTATATCATTTTGTGCGGCTGGATCAGGAATGAGTTGCTATGCCTTTTGGTGTTTATTACTTCTATAGTTTTTTTAAATATGAATATTTTAATGCAAGTTTTTGCCCATTGGAATGAATGGGAACGAACGAAAGTGAAACTTAACTTACTTTGTGGTGTGTTTGCTCACTCACTTAATTTGTGGTGTGTTGGCTCACTCTAGTGGTATGTCCCCGTATTTGGATTACCATAATGACGACAATATCAACGGCGCGCACAGCGTCGGTGCTTTCAGGAACCACTGGAATTCTTAAGGTTGCACGAAGCATTGAATAGTTACGGTAACGGCAAGGGTGTATGCTTGGTGGAAAACTGCATATCCCACAATTCAAAGCACGCCTCTACCAGTCAAACAATGGCGGCTGCCACTTGGTTTAATATATTCCTCTTATTTGTGTTTCTAGGTCACAAAGTAAACTTTTAAGATATTTTCAGGTGAGAATGTGGGTGTGTAAACGTCAAATATCTGCTCGTTTTGTCAAAACATCCCATATTGGCAACAGATTTTTCACGATGTTGCGCCGCTTCACTCAAAAGCACCCAGGCTTGGCTTTCAGTGAGGCGTCTCTAACTCCTTTCATCCCCGATAGCTCCGCAAACAGTCTTTGTCTTAGCTGGACTTATTTTTCGTTTATATGGGCCGATGATGCTGGTCGATGAGGAAAAACTGAGTTGTTTGGTGGTGGCTAACGCGGAGCTAGCTAGCTAGCTAGGTGGCTAACGCGGAGCTAGCTAGCCACCGGTATGTGTCTCTTTCCCCTCATATGTGGGGAAAGAAACATGCGAGGCGGCCGCCGATCGACCGGTTTTCAGGTGAGAATGTAGGTGTGTAAACGTCAAATATCTGCTCGTTTTGTCAAAACATCCCATATTAGCAACAGATTTCTCACGATGTTGCTGCTAGCCGGCTAGCTAGTTCGGCCGGCCGGCTAGCCGGCTAGCTAGCTCGGCTAGCTAGCGCCGCTTCGCTCAAAAGCACCCAGGCTTGGCTTTCAGTGAGGCGTCTCTAACTCCTTTCACCCCCGATCGCTCCGCAAACAGTCTTTGTATTAGCTGGACTTATTTTTCGTTTATATGGGCCGATGATGCTGGTATGTGTGGAAAAAATAACTGAGTTGTTCATATACCGGTGGCTAGCTAGCTCCGCGTTAGCCACCGGTATATGTCTCTTCCCCTCGTATGCGGGAAAGAAACACCGATCGACCGGTGGTGGCTAACGCGGAGCTCAATCGTGGATAAGGGAAACCCAATGCAGGAGAAGCAGGCGGCTGGTGAACTGAATTTCAGGTAAGACGTTATTAACTGCACTCTATTTGGGTCAGATATAAACAGAGTTTAGGTGTAGTTTATTTTCGTTGTGCTGACAGTTACAATAACTGTACTGCGTGCTAGCTAGCACGACGGAGTTTCTATACAGCTGTGCGCGCTAAGTTACTGATTTTGAACTTTATGACAGCCTCCCCTATTTTCAGGCGAGAATGTAGGGGTGTAAACTTCAAATATCTGCTCGTTTTATCAAGAAGTCCCATATTTTATCAAGAAGTCCCATATCTCTCACGATGTTACTGCTAGCGCGGCTTGGCTGACACCTAGGCCGGGCTGACTGATACCCAGGCCGGCTCACGCTCTCGTTTCACCGCCGCATGGCGGCTAGCTGGCTAGCGCGGCTTGGCTGCCACCCAGGTCGGGCTGGCTGACACCCAGGCCCGCTCACGCTGTCGTGTCACCCCTAGTCTTTCGTGATGACTCTTGGTTGGCTGCTGGACTTATTTTTCATTTATATGGGCTGGTGATTCAGTATGAGTGTCCGGTGAACTGAATGTCAGGTAAGACGTTATGTATATGTAAGGTAGTGACTGGAATAAGTCACAAGGTGTCGCTGTTGAGCTGCATATATGTTGTAAATTTTAGCAATTTTGACCATTTGTCCTCTGCAGGACACCGTAGTTCAGATTTCTCGTTCGCGTGGGCGCCATCTTGGTTCAGTGTTTACTGTGATGTGCAAAGGTAAGCACTGTCAGTGGCGAACTGCATTGGTTTTGTTTAAAAATAAGTGTTCCACTGTGTAAAATAGCGGTTTGTCATTTAAGCCGAGCAAATATTTTGTTTATTGAGAGGTTCATGTATTGTCTGATGAGAGTATGAGACAAAGATATACTTTTCTTTCTTACTCTCATATAAAATATTTAGCTTTTATTAAATAGTTATCTGAATCTTACAACCAAAGTTTGTATAATAATACACAAGATTGGCTGTAGACCATTGTTAATCATTCAGAACACTGTGTAAAAATAACAAAAAACAAAAAGTGAATGAAAAGTGCATAAATATTTATTTTACGTGTTTGATGTGTGTGGCAGGGGTGGTCTGCAGTGCCGCTGCAGGGGAGGTGGACCCACCTCAGCGGCATCTGCAATCACGCCTCTCAGGTGTAAAGTCTGTGCTCTCTCTGCTTTTTTTTTTTTTTTTTTTTTTTTTGTGTATGTGTCGGGCTATGAGATGAAAAGCTACAGCCGGCTGTGTGGGTACAGCAACTATGTGTGAAAAGTGGTCCATAACGTAATGCTTCAAAGTGTGTTCATGCAAACATTGTCGGGTCTGCTTATGAACCTCTGCGCACAGCGTCTACAAATTGGGGCTGTACGAAGTCACCTCATCTTTACACAAAACTGTAAGCTGTCATCTGTGAGGCGCGAGCGGTGTTTGGTTTTACCATAGTTCATGGTGGAGAATGGCTGCTCCGGTGAGTTTTGCTCTCTGTAGCCGTTTGAATGGCAAACTATACTGACTAGCGGCGGCATAGGCACACTTAAAATTTCTTCAGAAATTTTCGCTTTCTAGTTATTATTATTCTTTTTCCGCCTGAAATTTTGGACCTTAACTCGCCCCACAGTTTTGAGACAAGGTTCACATATGATATATCATTGTGTGCGGCTGGATCTGGAATGAGTTGCTATGACTTTTGGTGTTTATTACTTCTATAGTTTTTTAAATATGAATATTTTAATGCAAGTTTTTTCCCATTGAAATGAATGGAGAACAAGAAAACTTCATTTGTGGTGTGCTGGCTCACTCTAGTGGTATGTCGGAGTAATGCGAGGCGGCCGCTGTGTCCCTGTGGACGCTTTTATTTTGTATAACTACCGGAAGTAGTTCCTGTGTACTGACGCTAGCTGGGTAGCTAGCGCCGCATCGCTTAAAAAGCAGCCGGGCTTGTCTTAAACTTAAGAGGCTGACACTCGCTAAACCACCCGATCGCTCGCCAAGCGACTGTTTCACACTGGACTTATTTTTCGTTTATATGGGCCGATGATGCTGGTCGATGAGGAAAAACTAACTGAGTTGTTTGGTGGTGGCTAACGCGGAGCTAGCTAGCCACCGGTATGTGTCTCTTTCCCCTCATATGTGGGGAAAGAAACATGTGAGGCGGCCGCCGATCGACCGGTTTTCAGGTGAGAATGTAGGTGTGTAAACGTCAAATATCTGCTCGTTTTGTCAAAACATCCCATATTAGCAACAGATTTCTCACGATGTTGCTGCTAGCCGGCTAGCTAGCTCGGCTAGCTAGCGCCGCTTCGCTCAAAAGCACCCAGGCTTGGCTTTCAGTGAGGCGTCTCTAACTCCTTTCACCCCCGATCGCTCCGCAAACAGTCTTTGTCTTAGCTGGACTTATTTTTCGTTTATATGGGCCGATGATGCTGGTCGATGTGGAAAAAATAACTGAGTTGTTCATATACCGGTGGCTAGCTAGCTCCGCGTTAGCCACCGGTATATGTCTCTTCCCCTCGTATGCGGGGAAAGAAACACCGATCGACCGGTGGTGGCTAACGCGGAGCTCAATCGTGGATAAGGGAAACCCAATACAGGAGAAGCAGGCGGCTGGTGAACTGAATTTCAGGTAAGACGTTATTAACTGCACTCTATTTGGGTCAGATATAAACCGAGTTTAGGTGTAGTTTATTTTCGTTGTGCTGACAGTTACAATAACTGTACTGCGTGCTAGCTAGCGCGCACAGCTGTATAGAAACTCCGTCGTGCTAAGTTACTGATTTTGAACTTTATGACAGCCTCCCCTATTTTCAGGCGAGAATGTAGGGGTGTAAACTTCAAATATCTGCTCGTTTTATCAAGAAGTCCCATATTTTATCAAGAAGTCCCATATCTCTCACGATGTTACTGCTAGCGCCGCATGGCAGCTAGTCGGCTAGCTGGCTAGGGCGGCTTGGCTGACACCCAGGTCGGGCTGGCTGACACCCAGGCTGGGCTGGCTGACACCCAGGCCCGCTCACGCTGTCGTGTCACCCCTAGTCTTTCGTGATGACTCTTGGTTGACTGCTGGACTTATTTTTCATTTATATGGGCTGGTGATTCGGTATGAGTGTCCGGTGAACTGAATGTCAGGTAAGACGTTATGTATATTTAAGGTAGTGACTGGAATAAGTCACAAGGTGTCGCTGTTGAGCTGCATATATGTTGTAAATTTTAGCAATTTTGACCATTTGTCCTCTGCAGGACACCGTAGTTCAGATTTCTCGTTCGCGTGGGCGCCATCTTGGTTCAGTGTTTACTGTGATGTGCAAAGGTAAGCACTGTCAGTGGCGAACTGCATTGGTTTTGTTTAAAAATAAGTGTTCCACTGTGTAAAATAGCGGTTTGTCATTTAAGCCGAGCATATATTTTGTTTATTGAGAGGTTCATGTATTGTCTGATGAGAGTATGAGACAAGATATACTTTTCTTTCTTACTCTCATATAAAATATTTAGCTTTTATTAAATAGTTATCTGAATCTTACAACCAAAGTTTGTATAATAATACACAAGATTGGCTGTAGACCATTGTTAATCATTCAGAACACTGTAAAAATAACAAAAAACAAAAAGTGAATGAAAAGTGCATAAATATTTATTTTACGTGTTTGATGTGTGTGGCAGGGCGTGGTCTGCAGTGCCGCTGCAGGGGAGGTGAACCCACCTCAGCGATATCTGCAATCACGCCTCTCAGGTGTAAAGTCTGTGCTCTCTCTGCTTTTTTTTTTTTTTGTATGTGTCGGGCTGTGAGATGAAAAGCTACAGCCGGCTGTGTGGGTACAGCAACTATGTGTGAAAAGTGGTCCATAACGTAATGCTTCAAAGTGTGTTCATGCAAACATTGTCGGGTCTGCTTATGAACCTCTGCGCACAGCGTCTACAAATTGGGGCTGTACGAAGTCACCTCATCTTTACACAAAACTGTAAGCTGTCATCTGTGAGGCGCGAGCGGTGTTTGGTTTTACCATAGTTACTGGTGGAGAATGGCTGCTCTGCTGAGTTTTGCTCTCTGTAGCCGTTTGAATGGCAAACTATACTGATTAGCGGCGGCATAGGCACACTTAAAATTTCTTCAGAAATTTTTGCTTTCTAATAGATTTTAATCTATAGTGTCGGTACATTATTGCAGGCTGAAAATGCATTACAAGTCACTTAAGTGAAGGTGTTGCTCTGTTTTTGACCTTAACAGTGCTGATACATTTCATTTATAAAAGCAGATTTTGGTTTTTTGCCAATTCAATGCAAATTTATCATCCAAAAATACTCTGGCTTGTCTGCTTGCGTTCATGTCACACTTTCACAATCAACATCCTGCACCAGGAACCTTCCTCTGGTCTGCACCAGGCTGCACCTGTCAAAATTCACACCAGCCCATATTGCACTTAAAGTGCAAACAGGCAGTTTGTTTTAACCAAACCAAACAGGGAAGGTGTTATAACAGCCTTAGAGACTGTTTAGATTTGGCTTGTTTCTGAAGGCCACCAAAAAAAATCTAACTTGTTTTATGATTTGTTTTGAATGTATTTACACTATTGTCTTATTAAACGCGAGAAGGGCACCTGCTGGGTTACTGCTTTAACGAGGTAGATTTTACAGCCAAGAATCATTCCTAATTTAATCACGACTGCGTTTTTCCTTTGAGTGGCACATGGCACGTGGCGTCTAATGTGTTTTCACTTTGAAGTCATTATTCTGTCTTTGTGTTCAGTTCCAAGAACTAAGATGGCTAATAGGAGCATTGTTTTCCATCAGTGGGACAATTTTCCTGAAAAAAGCAAATAAGTTGTATGTGAAGTTATATCTCATGTTGATGATGAATACAAAATAGTCTTGAATGTAGCATACTAAAGGAACATTTCAACCGCTGGGAGATTTTTGCTCGACATGTGAAGCTACACCTGTTGTTACAATATTGGTGTGCTAGCTGGAAGCCCTTTGAGTAATTAAGACACAGCTGCTGAACCAATAAGTGCACGCATATTGGATTGTGTGTGTGTATGTGTGTGTGCCTGCATGTGAGAGGGAGAGCTGGAAAGAGAAGGAGACACTCCCTTCTGCACAGAACATCATTTTAATATTGGATAATGCTGCCCTCTAGCAGACAGGCAAGGGAGTGAAAAAAACAAAACAAACAAAAAACCCACCAACAATTTTTGTGATTTTCAGTGATAATAAATTGAGTCTGCAAAACAGTTTAAGGTTTATTCTCACTTGTCGCACTCCTAAAGCTTCCTGTTCTCCTATAAACATTGACATATAAAAACAAAAGAAACCCAAAGTGGGACTATCAAATTAAAACTGAGGTCATTAGAGTGTTAAAGTGTCACACTCATATATGTTATGTATATGTTACATATATGTTTGATTTCCTGGTTGATCACTTTTGTGCACGAATGTTCTCTTTATATCCAGAAGAGGCCACTATAGAGCTACGCATGAACACTCCACTTTTTTAACAGTATGACTGTTTTTTTATTGTTCTCAAAAGCCCAATGTACTCACAGATGCAGATGAGCTCATGGCAGTTTAAAGAGACAAAACAAAAAAACTTTTAGCTGACCACGTGTCCTGACTGGAGGTAAGGCCAGCTAATAAAGAGCCAAGAACATGTTGCACATCTCAAAAAAAAAATTTCTTTCTTTAGATACATTTTTACTCCCTAAAAACAGAGACCACATGCAATTTGATGGCTAAGCCTAGCTCTTGGGTAAATATCTGCAGGAATGCCCTGCTGCATGAAGCTGCGTGTCTGACGATGCTAAACTGGGAACAATAGGTAGTTAAATTTATGAAGGCAGTGGTGCTGGGCAGACGGCTGACCCCAGTCCTTCTTCCATGTCACTTCTCCAGAATATTCTAAGTAAGTAAACACCAAATAAGAAAGGTGCTGTAAATTGTAACCCTTAAAAGCCTGCCTCTGAGCAGTTGCGTTTCAATCCCTCTCCTAGGTGAAGCATAACATTCCCACGTTGCCAGTGCTAAATAGCCAGAGGACCTATAAGCTGAACTCTCAACATACTTCACAATCTGCCAGGTCACTGGTTGCCAAGGATTTAACTGAGCAGCTCCATGACCTTTGCAATAGAAGGTCATTCAAAGACAAGATATGTTGTGAAACAAGGGCCTTTGAATTTATCTCGTAAATTTTTGCTGCAGTTTAGCCAAACTCAGAACAGTGAATCAAACAGATTAAATGTTATCATTATGTCACAAACTTCTTTGAGGTTCAGATGCAAAAACGCAAAGAAATCGACACAACTTGCTCGTTAATAAAGTGGGCCATCACAACATTTCTTCTAACAACCCAACTCTTATGTTTACTTGTTATTTCAGAGCTGTTTAAATGTATCGTTTTTAAATTTATTATTTTGCTACTGGTTTGAATTAATAATAATAATAATAATAATAATGACATCAATAAAACAGTAGATTAAAATAGATTCTAATAAATTAAAATACAGAAACCAGCAAAATACAACCACAAACAACAAATTAAAATAAAACCACAGAATTTGACAGCAAGTAAAATATGTAATCTGTAATCTGAATTCACACTCCCTATTGTTTATTACTGAATTCATTTATTGTAGCTGATCACTTATTTATTAGGACATCTCAGCACAAAACAGACATTCACGTTTAACCATGTTAATGTTCATAAGTCAAAATGTTTTAATAAAACAAATCTTGCCAGTCATTTCAAACTGTTTATTCTGCAACACAAATTAAGGAATGAAATGAAGTGAGGACTAAGAAATAAAGTCCTTAGTAATCAGGCAGTAAACATGACTATTTCTGTAACAATCATAAAGTTCCAGTGCATTACACAGCACTGAGACTGCGTATACACTTTATGCTTTTAAAGGGTATTGGAAGAATAATACTAAGTGTGTGTGGCAGCAGTGATAAAGCCAATGACTCAAACCACCCAAAACGTGTTTATATGCTGACATTTTGAAATTTTCAGCTGCGAATATTTTATTATAAGATACAGAACTTATTTAAAACATGCAATTACAGGCACTCGTACTTAAACATTATGTTTTTAGGGATACTTCTCCTGTAAATGCCCTCATAAATCTAGGAAATTTGTAAAATAATCCCCAAAAATCCAGTGATCGTTGATCTTAATATAAACCAAATATACTTTAGGCTTCAAAGTCTAAGTCCAAGCCCTTCTGTCAGCTTTTCCAGTCAGACCTCCCTCAGTTAGTTCGTTTTTTGTGCGCCGTTAAACTTGGCTGTGAATTCAATTTTTTATTGTGGTCTGATTTTTTATAAGCTCTCCCCCAAGTGGCAGCCATGTGTTCAGTTCTTCAGCCACAAAGACGTTAAAACAAACATCACCATGGAACAGATGAACTCTGCCCTCGGCTGCAAACTGTGACAAACAGAAAGCTCAACAGGGTGTCCTGTTGGAAATGCAAAGACTGACTGTGAATAGCATTAAACACGCTTTTGTTGCACTGCTGCTATCGGTCTCTGCTGCTTCAAAATGACTGTCAGAATGAACATTTTGGTTTTTCCCTCAGAGAACACTGCACATCTTCAAGTTAGATACATGACGCTGATGTGTGCAGGCAGGCACCT